TTATTTAAATTAGTGAAATCATTTCGCCATGTATAATAAAACCTTTTCTGACTACGCTTGTTTGGTCAAGATGGCTGGATATTAGCCTCAATCCTTTTTTGCATTTTTACAGAAATCCACTTCATCTCAGACCGAAAAAACACAAAAAACAAACTTGGCCAATATCCAGCCATCTTGACCACAAGCTTGGTCAATAACGCATACTAATTAAGTTCAATTGGCCAATAGCATTGTTAAACAGATTCTCAGAGTCGACACCAAAGGAAATCTAAAGAGAGGAATATTGAGAATTTAGATATTAATGCTAAGATGTAAAGGGTTAGGTCACACACTCACGATTTTTGTTTCCCAGTGTCATGGTCTTGTCTAAATCATCAGCATTGTTCACCACATATGAAGACAAATCCTTTACGTAAACTCCAACATCAGGTCTCTCTTTGACCTAAAACCACCAAGAATTAGACATTTGACACAGTTTGAGAAAAATCTGTGTAACCTTGGAAAGATAATGTGAAAATGGTGCTTGACAGTTATCAGCCCTCTAGGCTTAAAAAAAAGAAACATCCTAAAATTAACAACTTGCCTCTAATTTTGCATTCTGATCCTTTCCTAACAAGTCCCGCACATTTTCATTGTAGATTTCCAAATATGACACACGAACAAGAAACCTGGATAAAACAGTTACTGTTTATATCAGTTTAAATAATTATAATTTCAAAAAAAAAATAAAAACATGAGAAATAAGCTTCAAATGTCATATTACAAATGTAAGAGAAACAATGTTTTATTCAAAGATCAGAGTGTGAAGTCAGTTGGGCAGTGCAGAGGTGTTAAACTTTTGTTCCCTATTTTATATCACTTAGAGAATGATTCAAAGAAACAAGAGAGCAATTTCTTTGGGTCTTAAGTCAGCCTTACACATTTTGACAAATAATTCTAAGCAGTAACAGGAGATATCTCCGATTAACACCCCTTGCTACTGTTAAGACAAAAAACTTACAAAAAAGAACTTTTAGAAGTAGTTACATGCAATTTAAGAGAGTTAGAAACAAGTGATCAGTGGCATAGTGGCAAGACAGATTCCACGATCATGTAGAATCAAAGTAAATCCTGTGTACTTTGGAATTGTTTATCATGCATTTTAAGAGCAGTTTGTCAAGTGTTTGATCTCTTCCAGGTTCCCATGAGATTTTCCCCTTTCATATCACTGTAATCCCAGTGTAACAGATTCCTGCTTCCTTTCTCTTTTTCATGAAGGCTTGTAGGTAAAAATTCCCAATGAAATTTGTCAACCATTAGTTTGCTCTCCATTGATCCAGAAGGTTGTTTACATGAAAGACTCTAGATTTTAGGTTCTATTTTACTAGCAGTGGCTATTAGCTTAAAAAATCAAACCTACCGTACGTCACCAGCTACTTTAGCAATATGTCCAAATATATGTGCAAATGAGTTTGGGATTATTCCACGAAGTTCAGGAGCTGTTCTTACTCCTTCCATTGTAAAAGTTTTCCCTGTCCCTGTCTGCCCATATGCAAAGATTGTGCCTGGTATTTAAGAA